AGCAGGCTCACAGACTGGCAAGCTATGGGGATTGGAAACACCTTAGAGAAGGGACATCTGGTCCGATTCCCTCATTTTAGAGACCCAGAGAGGGCCAGGGATTTGTCCATAGTTCCCAGATGAATCAGACAGAAGACTAGGATACGGGTCTCCATACTCTCCAGATCCCTTTGTGAGCCCTCTTCCTGCCATGGCCAGGACCTGTGGGCCATGGTTGTTTGCCAATCCCTCCAACAAAGGAAGGGGGCAGGGCTGAGAAGTGGGGAGATTACTACTGGCATATGATCACTAGTCAGAAGGGAGCCCTCCTCTGAAGCCCGGTGGGTGTTCCAGGAGAGTTGAGGGTGTGTGGGGAGAAAATTCAGTGGAGAATTGTGGTCCCTCAGAATTCAGTCTGTGTTCTCTCTCCTGCCTCAGGCTCTTTCCCAGGACCACCATGTTGTACAGCTGCAGGGGAAGCCATTCCATAGACTCTGATGTGAATGGCGCCTCCTGGAGTTGTTCAGGGCCCTGCCTATGTAGCCAAACAGAGCGCATCTGTCCCCCACCTTCTTTCTTCAAATTAGCTTCAGACCCAGCTGGAAGGAGGTGTTCCAGACAGGACTTAATCCAACACCCTCTCCCCTACCCTGGCTTCTGCCACTCAACATCTCCTATTCCTCTGCTACCCAGCCCCTCCCCACAAAGCAGGTCTCAGTGGGCCACAAATTGTGGTGCAGAAGCTCCTCCCCTGCTCTCCACTCAGTTTCTATGACTCTGGGGGGCTGATTTATCATGCCCCCCATCAGGCCTGCTGCAGTGTGTGAGAAATCAATAGTGCAAATGGATTGAGGCTGTTCAGCCTGTCGACTCCCCTTGCGCCCCACCAACTCTCCTGGGACTTGCAGAGTTACTCATTCCCTTTCTGGGTCAACATACACATAGATATACGCATCTAGTGGTTGTAGTCAGAGCACTGAGCACAGGAATTACTCTTTCTGTCCGTTTCTGTCTCTTTCATTCTCTCTCTCTTATATACTGGGCTGGTCTTAGCATGACAAATACTCTTGAACATTTATTTTCTAGCTTAGGTGGAGTAGGGGTGGAGGGGCTTAAAGGGCAGTAGGCTGCCTGCCAGAGGTGGGGAGGGAGGCAGGTGGGTGAGGGAGTTGGTGGGGGAGGATGAACTGGGGAAGGGATTGGGTGACAGCCCACCCCATCAGCCCTGGTAACTCAATCCCTGCACCCCACCCTCCCGATTTCCCTCCTGCTCAACAACTTCAACAGCTGCTGGCAGAAGCAGGGCTGGCAGAAGTGTGTATGAGTGCATGAGTGTATGAGGGGGGTGAGAGGGGCTGTGGGGGCAGGGGGTGCTGCCAGGACATGTTAAAGGAGACTCACAGCCTGGGTACAACTTGGGTGGCAGGAGGAGGTGGGGCAGGTGGGAGAGTGGGTGGTGAGTGATGGGCAGGGTGCGGGCTGCAGGGGGGGCAGGGCAGCCCAGGGGTCTCACAAAAGTTGTTGGCACTGGAGCAGGGCCTACCGTGGTGAGGGTGGGCAGTGGTGAGGGGGTAGGGGTAGTCACAGCCATTGCTGGCCCCAGGATGCTGAGAGCTGTTCTTCTTCGCCAGGGGGCGCATGTAATCATGGAGGGACAGTCTGCCCCTGTCCCTGATCCCTGGGCTGTGCCTGCCGGGCATTGGGCATCACAGTCCCGGTGGTGACTAAGTCGCTTCTGTCCTGAGGTTGGCAAGGTGCCAGGCTCAGCTCTTCTCGGTAGGTGAGTCACTGCCCTGGCATCTCCCCCGGATGTAGCTGAGTCACCCGGCCATGCCTGCTAGGCAGGTGGGCACCATGCTTGGGGTGGGAGTGGAGGGCTATGTATGTAGCCCCCAGTGTCTTCTCTGATCTCTTTCTGGCATGTCCTGGCCCCACCCATAAATCTGCAGAGCCAGGCAAGGATGGTGCTTCTCCTATATGCTCCATTGAGGGGGTAAAGGAAGAGGCAGCGGGGTACAGAGTGGAATATGTTTGATTTGGAATAAATAGGGGGAGAGGGGAGTTGAGGAGACTGGGTTCGAATCCCAGCTCTGCCACCGACAGGCCATATAACCTTGGGCAAGGCAATTTCTTTTTGGAGCCTCAGTTTTCTCATCTGTAGGATAGAAACAGGAACCCTGCCCCTCAGGACTGTGAGAACCAAATGGGGTGGGACCATTAAGGTAATTGTGAGAGGAGCTCCTTTTGGGATAAGCTGGGAGGCTGGGGAGGGGAAGAGGAGTCAGTTAGGGCCAGTTCCAACAGACAACTCCCACCCTACCTGCATCACATCCAGGTGGTCTTAGAAAGACAATTGCTTTCCATGTTCTCTTCAAACTACAATTTATGCTATTCTTTATGAGTTCCCACAGGCTGTGAAAGGCAGGCCTTGTTTTACTAGAGGTGTGGGCCCTCCCAGGGCATCTCGAAGCTATTTTATATCGCCTTTGACTACTGAAAGTTGTCACTGGCCCATGTACCTATGGACCTCTCTCTTTGCTTCCTCTAGTTTGAAGAGGGATCCGTGTTTTGGAAAACAGACAAGGTTGGGAAACCAAGCTCAGGCTCCTCCCCCAGCCTATCTCCTTCTGTGTATAGGGAAAGGATAGGCCCCAAGAGTGTCTTTCCTAAAGAGTGAGGAGCCTCTGGGCCTCTCTGCTAGTCTCCTGCTATCTCCTGGATACTCTTGTCTCCTTGTGCATCAGGGTCCTTGGTGGGAGAGGGGTGGAAGCCCTGTTGTGTACCCAGCACAGCTGGAGTTCAACTGCTACTACAGATTAAAGACTCCTGGCCTCCCACCTTCCAACTCTCTTGCCTCCTGGAGTCTAGCTTGGGTAGGGCTTGACCTTGGATAGGTGGTACTGGGCAGGAAGGGAGTGCCTGAAGGTGGGCAGGCTGTGTGTTTGTATACAGCTGCTGGTCTTGTGTGCATGAGTGTCTAACCCCCTATGGGGTGTGGGTTTGTGTGTGTATGAATTACTTCCTTCATCTGCACATAGGCCTACTGCTATGTCTGTTCAGAAGTGTGCCCCATCCTTGGCTTCACGCACTTATATGTGCATAAATGTTTGTATGTGCTTGTTTGTGCATGGATGTGCATACATGCATCTTGGAGGTGTAGACATTCGTGCCCTGAATGCACGCGAGTGTGCATTTTTATGAGGGTGACTGAATCTCAGTGTGCAGGAGTGTACCTGACCCCATGTGATGGCAGGTGTATGTATGTAAAGGTCGTCCCCTGTGGGGAGGAAGCGTGTATGCACACTTGCATTTTTGTGTCCATGAGCCTTCCCCTCTAGCCTCAGCTGTAAGAAAGACTGGTAGCATCTAGGTCAGGAGGTGCCTATGGGCGCTGGGGGTGGGCTGGTCCTGACCCCCTCCTAGACTGGTTCCTCATCTGGGCGGAGCTCCCTGCTGTTGGCAGAGCTCAAGCTGGAAGGCCCTTGTGGGGGCGGGGCTGGGGGGGAAGGGGTTAAGCGTCTGTGTCCACATCTGGGAGCCATTGGCGCATTCCTGCCGGCTGAGCGCATGTTTGCGGATGGATCTGGACAGGACAGGGCGGGAGAGGTTGGGCGGGCGGTTCGCACCGGTGGACAGACGGACGGAAATGCAGACGGGAGCAAGACACAACCCTGGCTCAGCGGGCGGGAAGGGGCCCGGGAAGCGCTGCCCCGAACTGCTGGAGCAGTATCCCCCTCCGCAGACCTCTAGGCAGAGCGTCCTGCCGACCCTGCTTGTCCTACCTTACCAAGGTTGGGGGGCTAACACCAGAGACAATCAGATACCTAAATTCTAGACCCGACTCTGCAACTCGTATGACCATGGACAAAAATCCCTGCCCACGCTTGGCCTCTAGTTCCTGGTCTGTAAAGCGGAGCCCATCGGACCAGACCGGTGGGTCTGAGAGTTCTGCCACCGGTGTCAGGCTGAGAGTCACCTCAGGGGGGTGGAAGCCTGGAAGTGTGGCACTTCCCCTTCCAGTGGGAAGTCCTGTGGGGGCACTTGCGGCCACTTCTCTGCCTGGGAACGGGGAGGGGGTGTGTTCCCTAGTGATTCCGCTTCCCCCCCCAGTGAACTGCTAGTGATGGGGACATGATCCTCCTAAACAGGGCAGCAGGCTGGGAGGGGGCTCAGGACTGTGTTGGGGACTAGGGTCTCTGCAGATGGAGAGTGATTCAGATCCTGTCCAGCTGGAACATGACTGAGAGCTTTCTTGGCTCCTTCAGACTTGGCCAGGAGGGAGAAGCTTGAGTCTGAGTCTTCTAGCATGGAGGGCGCCCCTACTGGAAGATCCCAAAGCCTCTGCCCTTTTGGGGGAAGTATACTTTAAGAGGACCCGAGGGGTTGGGTTAGGCCAGAGCCCCTCTGACCACGGGAGCTGGAGAGGTGTTTGGGAAAAGAGGAGGTGTACGTGCGGGAGATCTACTCCTGTACTCCTATTTTGCAGATGAGAAAATTAAATCCAGAGAAGGGAGGCGACTTGCTCAAGGTCACACAACTCTCAGTTCCAACTGGTCCCTGGAGGAGGATTATAATTATGGGAGATAGGGGCTTGACAGCTAGGGTCAGAGTCACTGCGTTCACTTCCCTATTACGCCGCCTCCTCCCCCGCCTTCCGGGGTTTAGGTGTGTGTGTGGGTGTGTGTGATCCGTGAACCCCCGTGTGGATGTGTGTGATTGGGAGGGAAGGAGTGTAGGGTACCACACACTGCGGTCCTTTCTCCACCGAGCCGTATTTCTATTCTTTCCGCAGAACTTCACTCCTTCCTCGCTCTGCATCTCCAGTTCTGGGCTTGAGGGAGGGAGTCTCCCAGATTCCCACGGTCCAGCCTTCAGCTAGGAGCGGCTCCTTTAAGGCTCACCCTTCCCTGGGTCTAGTAAGGAGGTGGGGGCCGGGCGTGATCCTGTAGACCCGCCCCAGACTGATGATTGGTCAGTGGGCGGGCAGGGGCGGGCCTGAGGGAAAGGGCCTTCCCCCACCCCTGCTCCGTACCCTCCGCCCCCCCAGTCTGGGGCTCCGGGTAAAGTTTCAGCCTCCGCACGTGACTCGCCATGGCCGCTGCCGTCGCCCCGCGCCCCTAAGCCGCGGCCCCCCGGACGGCTCCTCTCCGGGGACTCCACACCCCTGATGCCGACTGGTACCAAGGCGCCGGGTTAGGGCAGACGCCGTGCCCGCGGGCAACCCCAAAGGGTTGCGTCCCCCGCTGCAAGGTAACCTCTCTCCGGGAATTTTAGGGAGCCCCTGGCTCCAGCAGGCATTGGGTCCCAGTGGTCTGCTCCTGATAGGAGCTGCGGGAGGGGCCCGGGTGTCGGGCGGGTTGCGACGGGAACCCAGGATTTCCTGGGCTTCCCACCCCGCCGCCGCCGACTCTAGGGTGGGGGAGCCCCGTCTGTGCGTCTGCCTGCGCCGTGTCTTCGCGCGCAGCCTTGAGGCATCTGGGGACGTCTGCCGCGCGTGTCCCCTGCCCTCGAGCTGTTGCAGAACCGCGGCTGGGAACTCCTGCTCTCTCTTTTCTCTTCAAAAACAAGCAAAACAAAAAGACTTTCAAACCTGTTTGGGGAGAGATCGGATGCCCAATGGACTAGCCCCCTCCCTCTTTCCCTCCTGTTATCTGAGCCGCCCTGTGGTTTGGGGAGAATCAGCCAGGGGGCCCACCCCCACCAGAGGGAGCCGGCTGGGGGGGCGGGGCCCGCTCAGCTGGTGTCCCCTGTGGAGTGAGGGGAGCCGTCAGAATTGGGTGCGGAAGCCAGTGTAGTGTGTGTCTGTGGAGGGGGGATTCCCTGGGTCTTGTGCTACCATCGTGTATGGAAGCTTTTGGGCGTGATGGGAAAGACGGAATAGACTGGCCGACCTTGCTTTGCTGAGGGTGTCTGGGACGTGGTGCCACCCACGAGGCTTGGAAGCTGCCAGCCAGATGTATGTGTGTGTGTGTATGTGTTGCGGGGGGCGCTGGGAAATCAGCTTGGCTAGGTCTCCTGTCGTCTTTTCTGGGCACTGCACTACTGTCAGGCTGCTCCGTGGGAAGCAGGACAGACCCCCAGTGTGCTAGGCCGGGGGTGGGGACCAACGCATATGGAAATCAGATAAAAAAGCCCCTCAGCCCTGGAGATGTTTCTCCACCCTCCATCCTGTCTTGGATAGGATATCCAATGTGTTGGCCTGGAAGGGTATGCCCTGCCTGGGCTGGCTCCCTTTTCTGTAGCTAGGTTGCCTTCTATCTGCTGGCTGTGTGCACAAGTGTGCATGTATATAATCTCTGAGGGGATTGTTCCTGAAAACACTCCCCCACTCCCTACCCCTGCTGCTTACCCTAACCCTTACTTCTGCTCCGTGTACCCCCCACCCCCAGTTTTCTGGCTAGGAGATTCAGAGATGTTTCCTATCCTCTTCCCTGGCTGCAGTCTTCATAGAACAATATTATTTGGGGGGAAGTGGTTCAGTAAGGGCCTCCCAGTTCTTGCTAGGAAATTGGGGTTCAGGCCCCAAATTCTCCTTCAGGGCTTGATGGGGAGGTTGGGCCGGGGAAGCCCCAGGTTAGAGTGGGGGTGGCTTGAAGTCTTGCGGCTTCCCCTGGCATGATGGAGGAGATGAGTCTGGGGGAAGGAACAAGAGAAAGAGTATTTGGAGTTGGATGTGTGGTTCATCCTCCTGGAGGATGAAGGGGTGGTGGTTGTGGAGTCAAGGAGTTTGTGGCTCTGAAAGATGTTGCACTGGGAGGGGCCAGGACATCAGCACTGCCTGGGAGTCTGGGCCTCTCCTGAAACAGAGAGGTCAGTAGGGTCAGACTCAAGTAGGCGCTTGGGAGCTGAGGATCTTGGATTCGCAGGGATTTTGAGAGTGTGAGTGAGTATGCATGAGGTGGTCACTGCAGGGGTTTCACTAACAGGCTGATGACAGTGGTATAGATGCAGTGGGTGTTCTGAGAAGACCCTCGGCTTGGAATGGCTTAATCCTGGCCACGTCCTCCTATACAGCCTCTAAATAAATCTCTCTCCCTCCAGTCTGACCCTAAATGCCCCTGCTCCTACCCTGGGACACGTGTCATCTTTAGTCCCCTCCCTACTCCCAAACTTGCGGCAGCCTGGCAGGAAGCTGGCTGTGGGCAGCCCCATCCTGATTGCCCTGTGCCTCCCCCTCTGGGCACAATCAACTACATGTGCCATGACATAGTTCCTGCCACCCTGTCTAGTGTGGGGAGAAGGCATTGTCTGAGTGGCCCCTCAGGTCTGTTTTGGGTACATTGATCCAGGCCCCAGTTAACGATGAGTTCCCCTTCCCCTAAATCATTTAGTCTCCAAAGCTGGCTCTGCCCTCTGGGACCTTTCCTCCTAGGCTACTCCTTGCTTAGACTCTAGGATCTTATGTGGGATGGTCCTCAGAACTGTGTGATGTGAGGGTGGGGCCTGCCCCAAAATACAAACGTCAATGCCCAGTTCCCTGTCCTCTGGGAAACGTGAGCAGGGCAGGACCTAGGCTGGGCTGGAGGGGTGGGTGTGTTTGTGCCTCTGTGGGGTCTGTTTGGGAGCACTGCCTAGGATCTGGGGTGATGGGCATCTGGGGAAGGTAATCCTATCCCTGTGACAAATAAATGGGTAATCTTCACTTGCTCAGCACCCCACACCCGTCTGGTGGTGGTGGTTTTGGGAGTGTGGGAAGCTGGCAGGGACCCTGGCAAGAGGACCAGGGTTGTCTTGACTTATTGGGTTTTGGGAAAGGAGTGTGGCAACTGATACCCCCAGCTCCCAGGTCTTTGGCTGCACATTTTCTCTGACGCCTGCTGTCTTTCCTCCCTCTGCTCCCCTCTCCTCCCCTCCGGCTGCTGTCTGGAGCCCACACGGTTTGTGGGGGGGATACAGGGTGGGGGGCAGAGCCTGAATCTCTGTGTGTGTCCAGGGAGTGTTCTGGAAATTGGCAGGATTGGCTGAGGGTGTCCGGGTGTTCCCGCAGAGTGGGCGGCATGCGGGGACCTGGTCCAGAGTGTGAGAATGTGTCAGCGTCGGTGTGTCTGTCCCCAGTCTGGCTTGGGTGTGGGTGTCTCGGGTGTGGGCGTCTGTTGCTTCGTCTGGATCTTGCCTCCCGCTCCAGTCCTTCCCCCTTCCTTCCCCCCCAGCTGGGACCGCCTGCTTGCTCTCCCTCTCTCCCCGCAACTGGAGCCTCCCTTGCCTGTTCCTGGAATTTGGAGAGGAGGAGGAGGAAGAGGCAGGCAGACAGACCTCCCACACTCTAGCCCGCCTGCCTGGCATCATGGGGAAATGAAATAGGTGCTATGGAACTAAGTTTCCCTGGCTTCCCCAGACCCTCCAGCACACATCACATGGCCCAGGGGCCAGCTCTTACAGAAGGGCCATGGGCTGCTCACCCCTCCAGGCAGTGATTACCTCCTTCTACTTAACATCCTGCCTGAAGGGCCCCTGCTGGACCTCCAGGCACCACTGTCAGCCTGGGGAGCGGGTGGGGGGATTAGGCTGCTGCCAGGCTGGCCAGCACCTGTTGCCAACCCCAGCCCTGTAACTGGAGCTGGCCAGGGAGGGGGCTGCAAAATGACAGGTGTAATTTCTGCAGCCAGGCAACCCCTCCCACCTTTGAACTGGATATGCCTTTCCCTTCCGGCCGGAACAAGGAAAGCCTCCCCCCCACTCAAGTGTCAGCCTGATCTCATGGATGATGCCCCTGTCCTGCCCAATGACCCCCACCCCCATCATTGGCTGCAGAGCCGGGCTGCCCTCCTTCAAGTTTTCAGAGCTCTGCAGCCCTGGCAGGGCTGGGGGGTGTGGGGGTTGTATGGATGGGGGTGGTTCTCTGTTAATGTTTTAATTGCATAAAAACTGGGAGCTCAGCTCCAGGCCAGTGGGGAGTCTGGGTCTGGCTGGCCGCCCGGTTTGGGCTAAATATAGTCCGGGACATCTGCAGAGAAGGGGAGGGGGGTGGAGGGAGGTTCCATTCTCCCACCTCCAGCCAAGGTGCCCTCGTCTGGGCGGGCACCTTGGAGCAGTGAGGGGGATTCCTCAGCACAGAAAACAGAGGAGAGGCGGTAGGGGCTCGGCACAGTTGGGACCTTGCTTGCCTGGAGGCCAATAGACACCTGAGATGAACCTGGAGGCTCAGGACAGGTCCGGAGTAGGGTGTGCCAGGTCTGGATCCTCTGGCTCTGCTCCCTCTCCCCCGCAGAGCTGCCTGAGTTCAGGCCGTCTCCGTGTGTCACTGCGCCCCTGCTGGGCAGTGTCACCGTGACCCACTTGCTGTGTGCCTGTGTGTACACACCTACTTTGGAGTGGCTTCCTCCTGGCCCTCCCCCTGGAGCGTCTGTCCCCTGGGTCCTACCGCAGGTCCTCAGCCCGCCTTCCCTCTGTCCCCCGCCCCACAGCGAAACCTTCAGCCCAGGAATCGAGACTTGAGAAGGGGAAGCTGCGGTGGGGAGTTCTCTGATCTCCAGTCACGACAGGAAGTGGGGAGGAGGGGGGCTGAGGGGGGGAAACCGTGAGTGGCAGGCAGGGAGGGAGGGCCCTGTCAGTCCTGTGATCCACCCCCGCCGTGCACACGGGGCTTGGGGGTAGCTACCTTCCTATGATCCCCCTTCCCTCCAGCTCCATGTGGGGGAAACTTGGGGACAGCTGACTCCCCAGGGGCTGCGAACAATCTTCATCGCCTCCCCAACGCTAAGAAAAAAAATGTCTTCCTGTCACGTGGCTGTCACTTCCTGTCCCACTGTGGTTCCTGGGATGTTTGTTGTTGGTTGCCATGGTGATAGCTGCCGTGGGCACTACCCCTGGTTCTTGTGGGGAGGGAGCTACCCCTCCCCATGAAGCTGGGGTGGGTACTTGGGGACCTGGCTGGGGGGCCCTTTCAGGCTGTGTGTGGTCTCTGATGCTCCAGATTCCCCAGGACCCCCCAGACTTCTGTCTGTGGGAAGGAGTCACCACCACCTACTCAGACTGAGTGTTAGGGAGACTGTGACCACGTCTGGCTGTGCCTGACTGTGGCTGTCTCTGTTAGTCTGACTGATTTTGCAGCCCTGGTCCCCTTTAGCCTGGTCCCTCTGCCTCATGAGGATGCTGGTTCAGGGAACCTCTGTACTCCCCATCCCCTTTCACAGTTTTGGAGCCTGCCCCTGTCCTGTGTTCTGACAGAAACCACCTTCCCCAGGGAGTTTCTGTGGCTTCTTGGGATCCAGGCTGGGGTGTAGAGGGACTCTGGGCAGGGTACCAGACTG